ATGATGAGACTCTACCAAAAGAAAATTTCTAGAACTCATAGAGATTAGAAATAGATGTTATTTACTTATTTAGGAAAATTTTATTTATTTATTCATTTGACGTTTTTTTTTTTTTAAAGATGTCTACAGGAAGTTAGATCTGTGCTCTGATACCAAATTAAAACACCTCAAAAATTCATAAATTTTAAAGTGTTACCAAATATTTACTTTTCTTTGTATTTAAGATGAAATGACAAAAACAAATTTCTTCAAAAAAAATAACTAGAACATTCATAAATCTAAATTAAATCATTGAAATCGTATCCTAAAAAAAAGACATAAAAACATAACTAATTAAATAACATGTTTTTAATCAAATTAAACTAACAAATTGAAAGGTAAAAAATTTAACTTTTTCACTTTTTGAATCCTCTTGGCAATTTGCATCGTCATCTGGCCATAGTTCAATCAACCCTAACTAACGTGTAAATTTAATGTAAGAGTAGATATTTAAAAATATCTAGTAAGATATGTGCAATTTTCATACACAATTATATAACAATAAAAAATAAACACTTCATACCACATTTCTTATGAAGTATATCAATAACCAAACGACTCACCCATCAGCAGTATATTGAATTCCTAAAGGATTTCACATTTCGTTATAAAGAACTCAATAGAGTTCACATTTTGTTAAGTCAAACCATAAAGTCTACTAATAATTCATGCATATTTAATTGAATATAAAAGAATAGGAAACAAATCAGTTGCACAAAATATCTTACATTGATAAATTTGAAAAGTCGTGAAGGAATGTAAAGAAATGCAAAAACACTTTTCTTATGTTTCTCTCTCTCTGACCGTGTCTATGTATAAATAATCTGTCGTGCAAAATTCTTTTGACTTCATGGGGTATTTATAGTGAAAATATTTAGCGAAATAATAATACAAAAGACATATACCACCACAGTTGATAAGAATTGGATAAAAATGAGTTTTCTATTGAAAGTGGGCTAGGATTTGACTTTGTACCTGTCCATCCTACCTCAAAACTAATTAATTCCATAATACCTACCTAATGGCGTTGGAATTGTACCTATTTTCTAGTTATCAAAGTACCAATCCAAAGCACACATGGTTGTCACCAATTTAATAAACAACTAATAGATAAAAATTTCTTTAAACGACAATATCTTAAGCTTAACATATCCGAATTAACTTTTGACTTCTAATTAGTTATGAGTTACAAAAAGAGTTTAATATCGATATATCTATCTTCGATCTATCAAAATCTAATGATTTGCCTCAAATAAGCTATAAGAATTTAAAACTTATTTTACTTTAGTCCCCCAATTTTAAAATATAAATATATCGCATATAGAACAAATAAATTTTATTCTAAAATTTTCGGGACTTTACAAGGACATTGTGGGCCCACCACCAGCAGTCATCCCGAAAAACCCACTAGCACCTGCCCTTTGACCCTTCCTCACCGTATTGATCGTAAACTGCCCTCTTATGTGGATCGCTTAATACCTGCAATAATAATTAAAACTAGGTAATTCAAGAAGATGAGAATCTATATAAAAATTGTAATATAAATAGATATGATATATATACGTCGTAGGGTTCGGAGATTTGTTTGAATTTGGCATTGTGGTCTACTTGAAGAATTTTGTAGTAATCCACACCCATGAATTTTTCTCCTTCGGAATCCAATTTTAGCCTTTCTGCTGTTAAAGTTTCTTTTCATTTCCTTTTCTTTGATCCAAGTGCAACATTGTTGCCCTGCTACCGAGATTTCGACGATCAGCCAGCTCGTCGGACTTTTTATAGCCAAGCCGATTAATTCCTCGACTGAAGTCTAGATTTGATCCTAAAAGAGAGAACAACCCAAGAGAAATCAATTAAGCTAGTGTGACAGGCTTGTAAACAGGGTGGAATACGGAAATTTGAAAATTCATACGTGGCATGCTAACTAGTTTTATTTTACAATAGTGCTACTGTGACAGGCTTGTAAACAGGGTAAAATACAGAATTTTGAAAATTTTGAGGTGGCATGCTGACTTGCGTACCTTTTCATTTGACAATCTATTTTCAATTAAGCTAGTGTGATAGGCTTGTAAACAGGGTGGAATACAAAAATTTGAAAATTCACACGTGGCATGCTAACTAGTTTTATTTTATTGTTCTTTTCAACACAATTCAGTACAATAATGGAAGGTTGTCAGTTGCTTTCTCTCTCCAACATTAACACGTTATTTCAAAAAATAATGGAAGCTTATCGTCAGTTCCTTCTCTGAAGCTTTAATGAAAAGGTTGAAAATTTCCCGTTCTGATTACTTCACCTTTCAATCGTGAAATTTACGTCGGAGCAGAGAACCTTAACTTGAACTTCGGTCGCCACACAACCCACCGTCTTCGGTCGTCGGAGTCCCAATTTCACGAAAGAGCAGAGAAGCTCGAACTTCAACTCTGGTCGCCACACAACTCACCATTATCCATCCGTTGGAGACCGAAAGTCACACCCGTTGCCGGAATTATTTTCCCTCTGCGAGACCCGTCGGCATTTCCGTCTATAGGTAGATGTTTTTATATTTCATCTATTATGGCTTCCATGTAGATAATCGGTTTTCATATATGGTCCTCCATAGAATATTGGACCTCCCATTTTGTTGTGATTCTTTACACTTGATTTGCGAAAATTTATTTTCATTAGCTTATTCGGGCTTGGTATTCCACCAATTCTGATTTTTGTGTTTCATTGAGGCTATACATAATTGAGTTCACATTTGTCGATGTGGTTTATTCCTATCATAGAATTGATTTCATTAATGGGGCCATATGGATTTTCGTATGCCTTCAAAATTTTCTAAATTGTACCAATTTTGCACTTTCCAAAGCTTGACAGGGAATCGCCTCTCCAAATGCCCATCTTTCAGTTTCAGTTGATAATTATTCGTGAAAAATTCTGGTTAGAGGAAATAATATGAATTTCTCTTCAAAAATGCTGGGGTTTGTATCTGCATGAGGTTTCTGTGTGATAGTTTTTATTTAAATGGATCTAGCAATCAATTTATTAAATTGAGGATGTAGCCAAGAAGTCGGTCTCGTTGTTAAGACTTGACGTTTCATTTTTAATTTATTTTCATTAGCTTATTCGGGTTCGTTATTCCAACTAATTCTGATTTGTTTGTTTCTATACATAACTGAGTTCACATTTGTCGGTGGTGGTTTATTCCCATAGTAGAATGCCTGGGAGGAACTCTGGAATTTGTCATAGTTGTAGAGCTAAAGACCATTGATTTGACGATTGCAAAAAGAAACGCCCTTGTACACGATGTAAGCACGGATTCGAGAAATGTTTTGTGGTGGAGAAGGATAATAAGAATAAAGGAAAATTATTCCTCTGCTACAGTAAGAATTGTGAATTTTGGGAATGGGTCGTGAAAGACGAATCAAGCGGTCGATCCAGTCGCAGTGGCACTACCTTAGTTAACCCTGCGATGCACGAAACAGTTGACGAGATTTCTCGCATGTTTGAATCTCAACTTCAAATAAGTGACGAACAACAGCTCTAGATTTTGATGAACGTGACCATTCCGACGACAAAAATAAGCCCAGAATTGAATGAAAAGGGGAAACGGCCAGCTTGATTAGAAAACAATGATTGTAGTATTTGAGAGATGTTTGTATGCGTATGATTAATATGACGCAAAACCTTAATGTTCATCTTTTTACATGTGTGTCGTGTTTGTAAAATAATGAAATCGTCGAAGATTTTTCTTGTTGTAGCGTAGCCTATCTTGAAGCTTGATTTTGTGGTTTGAATTATGTACATTTATGGGTTCTTAAGGTGACAAATATGTATCAAAACGACCTTATATTGATGTAATCAAAGATGTCTAACGGATAGTGAGGTGCTGCCAAGCTATCTTGTATCATCAAAAACCAATTAAAAACCAATTCTATATTATTTGAAATTTTAGCGTTACTTCCAATTGCAGTCCAAAATTGAGTGAGTCCCACTGCCACATTCTCATACGTGAATATTGCTTCTGTTCGGTTTAATTGAGGTGGCAATAACAACATAAATAAAACAGCACATTCCAACCAAATATTAAGAAACTATAAACTGAGATGAACAAATTAAATAAGAAACTCTAAATTGAGATGGTAAAACCACAATTTTCTTTCGCAAAAAATAAATAAACTGTCAACTCAAAAGGCCTCTCCCACAGAGAGGTCACCCTAAAAAGAAAACAAAGCCAAATTCTTAGAACAACTCTTTTATTTAAAAAACAACATAATTAGGACTCCAACAAAACTGCAGACGGTGTGGAGAAAATGTAATCCAAGCCAAATTAAATCATGCAACAGATGCCATGTGGCGAATCAAGTTAACAATGCGGTTACTGTAAAATAGAGAATTATATTGTAATTGCAATATATAGACAAATTGAACGAGCTACCAATGTTATGAACAATATTTGATTCTTTTTATGTAGTCGAGTATCACGACCAAAAAAAATAGGAATATATCTAAGTCAATCCTAGTAAGAAATTTTCGTTAATGAGATCTTTAATCAAACAAATGAAGAATCATAAATATAGTCAATATAGTAACCAATGGTTGGTAAGCCATCTTTTTGAAGAAGATAAAAACACAGATCAAGTGGACAAAGAACATTGTATTTTTAAGTAATTTTGCACGTTACACCTCGTGATTCTGATGACTATTGAACAATCCCCCACCCCCAACAAGGCCACACCAACCAGGACCATATCTACCCATCCTGCTAAGCAGTAGTACACTTGTGATTATGTCCAATCCCTTGGATAAAGTTGTTTAGTATTGACATTTTAAGCACCAAAAGCCATCTAATAAAAAATCACACTCTAAATTTGGGAATCCGAATTAAAAATCATAAGTCAAAAATCGAACACAAAATATTTCTATTCCACTCAATTCAGTGCATATCTGTAACCCCATTCATTGTCATACTAAGAAACGACCTTCACAAAGTTGCTGTTGAGAGCGATTCCAGCTTTAGCGTCGAAAATGCTTCATCTGCAAAATGCAATTTCAGAATTTGATCAAGCGATGCAAATCTTGAAGATGGTGATGGTGAGACTTCAACTATTGGAAAATGGGAACTCGAATGCAATAAGTAGCATACTTCACAAGTATATGAACACCGACGGTCTAACATTTCAAGTCTATGCCACAAACCTCACCTTACTTTCCTCTGTCACTTTGATCCAAAATTTTTTGATAGTAGTATGGCATTACTTCTCCTACAATAAAACACCATATGACTAGTGAATGTTGTATCCACAAGATAGTGAATTTTAAATTCACAGCTACATGCATGTATATACCTTGCGGATTGTACATAGCGATTGTTGAGGACGGACATGGATCAAATTTGTTGCCGGTAAATGTTGTGAAAGAGATAATGGTGTGGGCATTAACCGTTGTGAAAATGAAAGTGGTGTCGGCATGGAGTCGTGCTAATATGTCGTTGGGGTCAACATGGAATATTGGTGAGGTGGCCGAATGTTCGTTCCCCTGTCAACCATATTGCTATTGCTGTTTCTTGATCTCTAACTTGTGCTTCTGGACTGTATATGCATCGAAGTTAACAACTTTCATCCCTTTTGTAAATATGATATAAACATTAGAACTTACCTTCGCTTTATTTGAGGCCATCTCCAACGGGCTTTTTCTTCGAAGTTTTTTTGGCACACCCTTTCGTTGGGCCAATTTTGGGTCCATTACATTTTCGCTCGCAGCTACTGAACCATCCTCACAGTGAATGGGTCCGAGCTGGTTTTGTTAGGGAATTGAATTACTTCGAGCACTTGATTTTGTGGTCATAAGCTCTTCACATTGACATTTAATCCACTCCATTATCACTCGTGACCGCGTTTCATCGCCACCTCCACAAAAGCCTTAGACATCTCTTCATATCTCAACTGTGAGGGACTACTAACTAACCCGACATAGTTTACTGCAACCCTCGTGTGTGCTCTGATAACATCTCTCCTCCATCTCCGCAGTATGTATCTATTCGGAATGTATGTGACATCGTTGCAATTCAGCATTGTGATAGCATGCCTGCAAAGTATTCCCCGAAATTCAAACAAATGGCAACTATAAACTATGTCGCATTTATCTCTCTAGAATGAGACGACGAATGTTTTCCTCCTACGAGCACTTTTGTATATAATACACTCCTGTACATCATAGGTCGTATAAGAACTTCCTTCTATTGTAGATACGTATACCTTTCCCGTGAACTCTTCTTGAACTTCCCTGAATTTTGAAATCGTGTAAACCGACCTATACTATTCCTCCATGTCGAATTGTGTTGCGCATGGTACCATTTGAGAGAACGACTTGAAATCGGCTTGGAATTCCTTCTCAACCTTATTCCTTAATGCATGCTCATATTGTTCGACAAACTGCTTCAATGAAGTCTTAGAATGCACATACCTATCGAAGAAGGCATTCATGCTCTCACTTTTTTGCGTTGTTGACATCCCTGTCCAAAAAATGGTTTTCAAGAAATAGAGAACCCAACGCTCTCTATTCTCGTATAATCTTGACAGCCAATCATTTTCATGCAAACCATACGTATCAATCATTGCAATCCACCCATCTTCAAATTCTTCTCTGGACTACGAATCATACACCAATCCATGTATAGCCCTAAATATCGAAGCCTTATCCACGTGATATCCAAATTTTTTTGGGAACTTCTTCAAAATATGCCAGAAACACCATCTGTGCTTCATATTTGGAAATAGAATCTGAATTACATTTTACATAGCCCTATCTTGATCAGTAATTATTCCATGTGGAGCTATGTCATGCATATACTGAAGCCACGTCCTGAACAGCCAAACAAAAGTATTCGTGTCTTCATTTGATAGGAGACCACAACCAAGCAGAGTTGGCTGTCCATGGTGATTGACGCCAACAAAAGGGGCGAATGACATATCATACTTATTGATGAGATAAGTGGCATCAAAAGTGACCACATTGCTGAACTCCTTGTATGCCTGCCTACATCTGTTATCTGCCCAGAACACATTTCTAAGTCGCGACTCATCATCCAAATCTATACTAAAGAAAAATCATGTACACTGTGCTTGCATTTTTGAAAAGTATGATTGTATTGCTACAGTATCTCCCTCTCCAAGTCTTAATCGCCTCACTTGTTCTACATAGTTCTGACAGTCTTTGTCAATGCAAGTCATGTTCTCATATTCTCCTACTTCTACAATTGCAGAATTATAGCTTTTATGCAATGAAATTCCTGCCATAGCATTCACTTGAAGCTTCCATTTCACACTTGAACTCAAGTATCGGTTGCATCGGAACGACCTGGACTTCGATGGACTTGTTTCATGATTGTGCTCGACATGGACCGTATTAATTCTCCAGTTTCCTAGAATATCACAAGATGCAGATATCCTGGCTTTACAACCCATCTACACTGTCAGTTGTGGCTTCACTAAATTGCCAATATTACCAGGTCTTCGACCTTCACGACTGCATGTGAACGTTACATATATCATAACTCCATCATCCCCCTTTTTCGAATTCCGTTTCTTAACCGGAAAACCAATGACATAAGCATACTGTTTGTAAAGTCACACATATCCTTTTCATCTTTAAATATCATACCCACCTCAGGCGCATTTACATCATCTCCCACTAATGTTTCGCCTTCCACTAAGTTCGCGGACTCGGTGACAATCTCATTATCTTCGTCAACCAAAACATCATCATGTTGATCTTGCAATCATCCATACTTTGTGAGCTGCGATAAAAACAATTTCACATTTAGTATCAATTGTTGTAACTCAAATAATTCCCCGTAAATCTTAATTATTTTATTTTTTCTTTTAGTAAATAAAGTAAACATTACAAACAAGAAGTTCAAGCACCATGGTAAATTTTGGTGAGAAAATCATAACAATGAATGATTTTCTTTTGTATATTTCTTGGGGATCCAAAAAGATGGTAAAATTGGTGAACTGACAGCAAATAACCAAAATACAACACCTCTTATTGAATTGGAAAAGCAACAACTAATATGCTACGTCTTCAAGAGCTAACCAGAGGAATTGCATAACAGATGAGTCTTCAAACACATGAAAAACATAAAATTACAATTAACAACAACAAAACAATACACAATTGTCTTTTTAATTTACACGTTTCATATCCTAGACAATAATAAGATAAAAAAATAACAATAAATTCCCACTAGACCTTATCAATTCTGAACAGGAATTTATTCTATACATAGAAATAAAAATCTTCTGCATTTAAGAGTAGAACTGCACAAAATTGTACCATAACTGTTCAATTCTAGTTCACTATAGTAACATGCTTTATTTAATTACAATTCACGAACTTGAGATATTCAGTACTTGATAATACATATTTTACAAACATGAAAGGCATTACTCAACAATCGAAATCAGTGGCAGGGATGTGGTAAACTGGCAATGAATAACTCAATATAAACCCTCTTCTTGATTTGGAAAAGCAACAAGTAACATGTCCATGTCCTAAAAAACTGTACAGAAGAAATCATGAGGAGGAGCCTTCAAACACATGAAAAGTAGCAATTAACTAAACAATACAATAATCATTTTAATCATTTCAACAACGCAGAGAAGTGAGAGCATGAATGCCTTCTTCGATAGGTATGTGCATTCTAAGACTTCATTGAAGCAGTTTGTCGAACAATATGAGCATGCATTAAGGAATAAGGTTGAGAAGGAATTCCAAGCCGATTTCAAGTCGTTCTCTCAAATGGTACCATGCGCAACACAATTCGAGATGGAGGAACAGTATAGGTCGATTTACACGATTTCAAAATTCAGGGAAGTTCAAGAAGAGTTCACGGGGAAGGTATACTGCGATATCGTATCTACAACAGAAGGAAGTTCTTATACGATCTATGATGTACGGGAGTGTATTATATACGAAAGTGCTCGTAGGAGGAAAACATTCGTCGTCTCATTCCAGAGAGATAAATGCAACATAGTTTGTAGCTGCCATTTGTTTGAATTTTGGGGAATACTTTGCAGGCATGCTATCACAATGCTGAATTGCAACGATGTCACATACATTCCGAATAGATACATACTGCGGAGATGGAGGAGAGATGTTATCAGAGCACACACGAGGGTTGCAATAAACTATGATGGGTTAGTTAGTACTCCCTCCCAGTTAAGATATGAAGAGACGTCTAAGGCTTTTGCGGAGGTGACAGACCTTGCTGCAGATGATGAAACGCGGTCACGAGCGATAATGGAGTGGAGAGCTTATGACCACAAAATCAAGTGCTCGAAGTAATTCAATTCCCCAACAAAACCAGCTCGGACCCATTCACTATGAGGATGGTTCAGCAGCTGCGAGCGAAAATGTAATGGACCGAAGATTGGCCCAACGAAAGGGTGCGCCAAAAAAACTTCGGAGAAAAAGCCCGTTGGAGACGGCCTTGAATAAAGCGAAGGTAAGTTCTAATGTTTATTTCATAATTACAAAAAGGATGAATGTATGTTAACTTCGATGCATATGCAATTCAGAGGCACAAGTAAGAGATCAAGAAACAGCAATAGCACTATGGTTGACGGGGGAACGAACATTCGGCCACCTCACCAATATTCCATGTTGACCCCAACGTCATATTTGCACGACTCCATGCCGACACCACTTTCATTTTCACAACGGTCAATGCCCACACCATTATCTCTTTCACAACATTTATCGGCTACAAATTTGATATGTCCATCCTCAACAATCGCTATGTACAATCCGCAAGGTATATATATGCATGTAGCTGTGAATTTAAACTTCACTATCTTGTGGATACAACATTCACTAGTCATATGGTGTTTTATTGTAGGTGAAGTAATGCCATACTACTATCAAAATTTTTTGGATCAAAGTGACAGAGGAAAGTAAGGTGAGGTTTGTGGCATAGACTTGAAATGTTAGATCGTCAGTGTTCATATACCTGTGAGGTATGTTACTTATTGCATTCGAGTTCCCATTTTCCAATAGTTGAAGTCACACCATCACCATCTTCAAGATTTGCATCGCTTGATCAAATTCTAAAATTGCATTTTGCAGGTGAAGCACTTTCGACGCTAAGGCTGGAATCACTCTCAGCAACAACTTTGTGAAGGTCGTTGTTTGGTATGACAATGAATGGGGTTACAGATATGCACTGAATTGAGTGGAATAGAAATATTTTGTGTTCGATTTTTGACTTGTGATTTTTAATTCGGATTCCCAATTTTACAGTGTGATTTTTTATTAGATGGCTTTTGGTGCTTAAAATGTCAATACTAAACAACTTTATCCAGGGGATTGGACATACTCACAAGTGTACTACTGCTTAGCAGGATGGGTAGATATGGTCCTTGTTGGTGTGGCCTTGTTGGGGGTGGGGTATTGTTCAATAGTGATCAGAATCACGAGGTGTAACGTGCAAAATTACTTAAAAATACAATGTTCTTTGTCCACTTGATCTGTGTTTTTATCTTCTTCAAAAAGATGGCTTACCAACCATTGGTCACTATATTGACTATATTTATGATTCTTCATTTGTTTAATTAAAGATCTCATTAACGATAATTTCTTACTAGGATTGACTTAGATATATTCCTTTTTTTTTTTGGTCGTGATACTCAGCCACATAAAAAGAATCAAATATTGTTCATAAAATTGGCAGCTTGTTGAATCAAATATTGTTCATAACATTGGAAGCTCGTTCAATTGGTCTATATATTGCAATTACAATATAATTCTCTGTTTTGCAGTAACCACATTGTTGACTTGATTCACCACATGGCATCTGTTGCATGCTTTAATTTGGCCTGGATTACATTTTCTCCACACCATCTGCAGTTTTGTTGGAGTCCTAATTATGTTGTTTTTTAAATAAAAAAGTTATTTTGAGAAGTTGGCTTTGTTTTCTTTTTAGGGTGACCTCTCTGTGGGAGAGGCTTTTTGAGTTGACAATTTATTTATTTTTTGTGAATGAAAATTGTGGTTTTACCAGCTCAATTTAGAGTTTCTTATTTAATTTGTTCATCTCAATTTATAGTTTCTTAATATTTGGTTGGAATGCGTTGTTTTATTTATGTTGTTATTGCCACATCAATTAAACCGAACAAAAGCAATATTCACGTATGAGAATGTGGCAGTGGGAATCACTCAATTTTGGATTGCAGTTAGAAGTAACACTAAAATTTCAAATAATATTGAATTGGTTTTTAATTGGTTTTTGTGGATGATACAAGATAGCTTGGTAGCACCTCACTATCAGTTAGACATCTTTGATTACATCAATATAAGGTCATTTTGATACATATTTGTCACCTTAAGAACCCATAAATGTACATAATTCAAATCACAAAATCAAGCTTCAAGATAGGCTACGCTACAACAAGAAAAATCTTCGACGATTTCATTATTTCACAAACACGACACACATGTAAAAAGATGAACATTAAGGTTTTGCGTCATATTAATCATACACATACAAACATCTCTCAAATACTACAATCATTGTTTTCTAATCAAGCTGGTTGTTTCCCCTTTTCATTCAATTCTGGGTTTTGCGTCACATTCATCGAAATCTGGAGCTGTTATTCGTCACTTATTTGAAGTTGAGATTCAAACATGCGAGACATCTCGTCAACTATTTCGTGCGTTGCAGGGTTAACCAAGTTAGTGCCATTGCTACTGGATTGGCCGCTTGATTCGTCTTTCATGACCCATTCCCAAAATCCACAATTCTTACTGCAGCAAGGGAATAATTTTCCTTTATTCTTATTATCCTTCTCCACCACAAAACTTTTCTCGAATCCATGCTTACATCGTGTACAAGGGCGTTTCTTTTTGCAATCGTCAAAGAAATGGTCTTTAGCTCTACAACTATGACAAACTCCAGAGTTCTTCCCAGGCATTCTACTACGGGAATAAACCACCACCGACAAATGTGAACTCAGTTATGTATAGAAACAAACAAATCAGAATTAGTTGGAATAACGAACCCAAATAAGCTAATGAAAATAAATTTAAAATGAAACATCAAGTCTTAACAACGAGATTTACTTCATGGCTACATCCTCAATTTAATAAATTGATTGCTAGATCCATTTAAATAAAAACTATCGCATGGAAACCTCATGCAGATACAAACCCCAGCATTTTAGAAGAGAAATTCATATTATTTCCTCTAACCAGACTTTTTCACGAATAATTATCAATTGAAACTGAAAGATGGGCATTTGGAGAGGCGATTCCCTGTCAAGCTCTGGAAAGTGCAAAATTGGTACAATTTAGAAAATTTTGAAGGCATACGAAAATGCATATGACCCCATTAATGATATCAATTCTACGACGGGAATAAACCACACCGACAAATGTGAACTCAATTATGTATAGCTTCAATGAAACA